CAGTTGCTGTGCCCTGTTGATGAACTCTACCTAATTGGCTTTCCTTTAGCTGTAGCTAACATGATCTAACACAGGGGTCCCCAACCCCTGGTCCACGGACCTGTACTGGACTATGGATCATTTCGTTCAGGCCTCAGCTGATCACGGTGAAATAAGTCATTCCCATTTAATTTATTCAGTCAAAACTTGAAAATAATTCATCTTTCAGACTAGAATAAAGTGTAATAAAATTTTAATGTTAAATGTGTTGGAGAATACGTCTAACTAACTGTTTGACGTACAGTAGATGTAGGCTACTAAAAGTGAATAACTTTAAATTATTTAAATCACTGACGAAAACAAATTGGTTTGTTGGTCTAATTTTCAGTTTGTTTTTCCAGAGCAATGCGTTCAATTTGGTGTGTTTATTCTGACTTGTAATATTACAAAAATATTACAAGTCAGGACCAGATTATCCAAACAAAGGCTTGATATGTTTCTTCAGCTGGAAGGCACTGGTGGGTGCAAAAAATATTACAAGTCAGGACCAGATCATCCAAACAAAGGCTTGATATGTTTGTTTAAAGTTTCTTCAGCTGGAAGGCACTGGTGGGTGAGATTCCAAAGAAATCCATATTTAAAAAAGTAATGAAACAGAAAAAAGTAATGCTGGAGTTTGATAAATATATCAATAAAATATGAATATACTGGAGTTTAATAAATATATCAATAAAATATGAATATAAAATATATATCAATGGAATATAGGTGTGGGATCAGACTGTGTAGTGAGTGTAATCCCAAAATCAGTTGTCCCCAATGATTATTTTTATTTTTTGTGTGGGAAGACCCCTGTTTATATATATTTTTTTCAGCTAAAAAGACTTTATACTGGTTAGCTAGTGTTTGGCTGACAAAGTATTTGACATCGCTAAAGAGGGGTTGAGAACCACTGCTGAGAGGTAATGAGAGTACTTACAGGTCACCCTGGGTAACTGAGGTCAGACTAATCTATGTGTAGTTGTCTACGGGTGAGTGGGATTTGGGGGTAGTCTTGTAAAACGATATAGATCATTGACAAAAGTGAGCGACCTCGGGGTCACAGGAGGCACAGGTGGCAAAACACTGACTGTTGGCAAAGTCCTGATCATTTAGAAAAAGTAGGAGTGGTTGCACATCTGAAATGTCTTCACGCTTTAACCAATGAGTGGTGTGGTGTGCGTGTGTGTGTGTCTAATCAACTTTTTATAAAGAAATATCTGGATTGTTGTCTATTACCTTTAAACTGCATTCACTAAATTATTATTATAAATGTGTTGATATGTGCAAACATTTTTTAACTTAGTTACATGAATAATACTTGTGAATGCAGTGACTTTGTTGAATGGAAAAACACAGTAATAACGTGTTGGTACGTCAGTGTGAAGACTGATGTTGATCTGAGCCTTTTCTGCTGTTCAAACACTGAGAGCAGGGAGTGCTGTAGACTGTTAAATTACTCTACCTTAACGACAACCAGATATTGTCTGAGGTAGTAGTTTCTGTCAAGAAAAAAAACTTTTTTTTTTATTGTGATCAAGCAGAACAGTGCTTTTAAAAACAGTAAAGAAGGAAATGTTAATGTTTGTATTTTTACAGTTTTCATTTGCCATGGAATAGTCCCAAACACAAATCAGAGCTGTTTTGGACTTAAAGGCGCTTTAATTTGACCTTTACGGTATGTAACCAAGCGAGGCAGATTAAGAACTCATTGTTATTCACAGCTGTGGCCTGGCCTCTTGATGCAGAAGGGTAGGGAGGATCAAGCAAACATAAAAAAAAACCTTATTTAATGACACATTTTAATTTTATTTTTTCAAAAACAATGGTGCCTAAAGTGTCACAACCAAAGCCTTACTTGCTGCTGTGGTGATGACACTGAGTAAAACTTGTTTTGATTGACATGACAGTATGCTCTCGCACAGTCATGAGTTGGTGCTGTGTTTATCACCAGGTCAAGAAGACCCTCAAACACCTGTGCTCAGTACACACTGGGCTAACAGGCAGGAAGTGAGGGTCCTTTTCTGTCACTCACAGGCTTCTAGTGCAGATCAAAGAAGGCTCAAAGCAAACGTCAAACAGCCATAAAATAACGTCATGTGATATAAAATGAATTTATAGTTTTCCATAGAATGGAACTGTGGACCAAACGTCGTGAAGTGGAAAGATAGAAGAGCGGCTCTAAATTTCGGCACTTTAACTTTACATCTTGTTTCTCTACATCTGTTAAACACGACTCATTTCCAAGCCTGGACATTTATTATATTTTCTCCCAGAATATGAATTAGAGTTTTTGGGTTAAGGTTGTTTTATAGTTCCTCTGCCCTGACCTGCAGCTGTATGTCTTTAGACATGTTGTTCTAACTTGTACTGAGGTCACATCACGTTGACCTCTGCTCTGTCTCCCTCTTCTGTTATCATCCTGGCCACGTGTCAACATGTAGGATGTAAAAAGAGAATTCTGGCTGTTTTTAACACACACACAGCTGTGTGTAACTGGGTACTGTCATGTGGGAGAAAAGGACAAAGTGGTTTTCTTTTCCTAGTTGTTTCTAGACACTGTCCAGATATAAAAGAACAAATGATGGGTCGGACCATGACTTTGCCCCTCAGCATGCCTGATATGTAAAATGTTTTTAACAAACAATCTTTGTTCATGTTGCAGAGTATCTGCGATGATATTTTCAGCACATTATATGGTTAGAAAGCATGGTCTAACACTTTCATTTTGCTCTGTAAAAACCAAAGAATTCCCAAAGAATTAAAAAAAAAACATTAAAATTGTATCAATATGTGATACAACAACAACGAAACAGAATACAACAGGCTCTAATATTCAAGGCAACAGAATGTTTTAATGAATTATATTGAATATTTTAATAAAGACCCAGCTCGGTAGAATGAAACCAGAACACAGATGTGGATCACGTTTCCATGAAATATGTTTGGCTTCTGCAACAATCTTCTGAAGATGTTTGTTTTCACATGACTGTCCCATCAACCCTGGTTATTTTGTGTTCCAGTGGAGATGTTGTAGTGGATCACACAAGAAGCCACTCGTTGGACCAAGTCTGTCATAGTGTCCAAGACCTTGTTCTCTAACTGAGCACAGAGTGGCTGAAATAAGAAAAAATTAAACAACGCACATTATCATTGTATTTATTTTTGTCTTATATGAAATTAAAAGTTAAGCCCTAAAAATACTGTTTGATCTTATTTGGTGGAAATTCAGCTTTGATAAAATATATTAGCGTTTTTATGTACGACCTTCGACATCATTTAACCATACGTCCCTTTAATCATCTACCAGTTCATTCTTTTAACTGCCAACAGTGGGGCTTGAGCCAAACCCAGCTGTCGGGGGACAAAAAAAGCAATCAAACCAGCAGGGATGTGAACCGTGGCCTTCCTGCTTCGTGAGGCAACAGTACAAACCACTAGTCCTCTGTGTGACCCAGTCTCAGATGTGATTTTTTAAACAGACATCGTGCAGCAGTGGAACAATAACAATAATAGGAATACATTTGAGGTGCTGGAGTTTCAGACCATTACCAACAGAACCACTGAAGAAAAACTGTCAGATTCTATCTGTGCAAAGATAACAAAAGTTTATTACGAGCCTGCATTTTTGTCCTGACTCAAGAGAAACTGAAACTGAGAAGCTTTCATCTAAAAATGGATGCAGTGGAATAAATGCATTAAGGTGAAGCTTGTCTTTGTTTGCGTTAAATTCCCTTTCACTCCTGTGCTTTTTAACGTGATCGTTGGCTTTTCGTCTTACTGTAACGACAGGAGCTGCTGGGATAAGTGTCATTTAGGCCTTTAAAAAAATAGTTGTGGGTTCATTTTCTTCAGTGGGAGCCTTGAGTGAAGGGAGGGTGCGTGAGGTGGGGGTTCTACAGCCCGTTTTAATAAATATTCATTGCAGTGCAGTGGCACTGTGCCAATGACTTGTTTTCCTATGGTTATTCTAATGATGTCGGGACTGCGTCTGGGTTTTTTTTCTAGATAGGTCACGTGAATTCTTGTCTGGGGGGTTTTTTCTAGATAGGTCACGTGAATTCTTAATAATACTGTGAGCAGCAAAATAGAAACTAAAAGTCAAGCATCAGATGTAGCTGATAAGAGTGAGGTGAACCTGTCAACAGTCCCACTCTGGTGTTTTTCTTACTCTGCTGTAATGAAGAATTATAGCCTGTACCCATCACAGCGTAGGTTTCCCTTCATAATCACTCACTAATTTGACAGTTTTATTGTTTTCAACCACACTGTCATCAGGTTATAACAATATGTTGGTCTGTGGTCTACAAAACTAATATTATTCTCATCAGCCTAGTGGCTAGTGTAGAGTTATTGGAATGACCTCATCACAATACCACCAAAATAATAAATCTGTTTAACCCTGCACCCTTGGAAAAATATTAGAATTTTAGAACACAAGTAAAACAAAATCAGAATATGAGCATATAATAAGGATTTTAGAACGCAAGTAAAACAAAATCAGAATATGAGCATTCTCTGATACTCTAAATACTCAGCCCCATAGTAGTTGATGTTACTGTGTACTATATTTTAGAGGGAGTTATGACAAGAATTATTATTATTATTATAAGTAGTAGTAGTAGTAGTAGTAGTAGTATTTGTACACATACTGAACTATTCATTTTAAAACTAGTGCAAAATTCGTACACATACTAAACTATTCATTTTAAAACTAGTGCAAAAAAGTGCTAGTAGCTTCATTAACTTTCAAGACTGAACCAGTGAGCACAAAACCTAAAATATAGCGATATATATAATAAATAAATGGTAAATGTCGTGGACAAGTGTCTCCATGGTGGGAGGCCAGTTTGATTCCCGTTGGTAACTGATGTTCTTCCTAATGGAGTTCATTGAGTCACATCTTTATGTTGCAGTAGAAAAGCTGTGAGCAGTTGTGAAGTGTTTCATTTATTTCTTATTTGTCACTTTATATTTTACAGAAAAAAATGTTGCATCGGCTTCAAGTTTGTGCTGGGCCAGTGTATTCCAGAAGGTATGGACAACCCGTGATGGAATCCTTGTTCTGTGTTTGTGATTTTTCCATCTTTCAACAAAATGAAAATTAAATGACATCTTGTTTTTGTTTTTTTTAACTATAGATTATGACGTGTGTGCTGGTGCACCCTGTGAGCAACAATGTACTGACCACTTTGGTCGAGTTGTTTGTACCTGTTATCCCGGCTACCGCTACGACCGTGAGCGCCATCGAAGGAGGGAAAAGCCTTATTGTCTAGGTACAATAAATTGTAAAATATCACCTAAATACTTATATATGTGCATCTGTATATATATATATATATATATATATATATATATATATATATATCTACCAGGCTAATTGATTCACTGGAATAGCGTTGGTGGAGACCCGCTTCATACGATAAGTATTTTGCAATTTTCCTTAAAAGGTTGTTGAAAACGACTGGGTCTGGTAGATAAAAACAAATGTGTTTCTCATT